TAATAATAATATATTTATTCTTATCTATGTAGAACACACCAGTTTTACAGGCATGGATAAGTATTATTTAAATTACATAAATTCGGTTTATGGTGAAATTATATGGTTGCTGTCCTTTTTGACTTTAGTTTGTGGGCACAATCCGCTAACTAGTCATTCAGTGGATGACACCAGGAAATATAGAAATACTGTCCTCGCATTAACAAAAAACCAAGTATGTGTTGAACGGAGTTATGATGGGTTGTTGCTGGAAAAGCGAATTAATAATAATATATTCTCATTTTTGTACATGAGAGACGCCAGTTTATAGACATCATCAATTCGTGTTGTTAGTTTGCTACATTGTACTCCCAAATACTAGACCTATATTCCATGTACTACTTTGCATTTTTGTGTAAATAAGTACATTTGTGGTTCATCATGAACTGTTGTGCATATTTTTTGGAATGCGCATTTTTGTTAACTCCAAGACAGTTTTGTGTTCAGCCATTGTGCTATTGGTGTTTGGATGCCTGATAACCTCAAAATATAGGGTTTATGCTATAATTATTCGATGCATTTTGTCAGTATTTTGCAGTATCTTGAATGGTTTGGTTTCAATACCCAACTATTTGGGAAAATTTGGTCGTTCTGAAGACCGCAACCGTTTATTTTCGCTGAGATTTATTTGTACGCTGGTTGCAACTCGCGTCATAAAGGATTTTCAGATGTTCTAGGAAACCGATTAGGTTGCCTGAACGACTTCTGGCTCGGTTCCGGTCAGCTTCAACTAGAAATAACGTTCATGATTGCTGCCTGGCTATCTGTCCTTCGTGGCCTGAGCTTTGGCCACACTACCTGCTGACTCTTTATTCTGACCCACCTTAACCTTGTGATCAGCCTTTTCAAACATATCCCGAACTGGTAAGCGGATTTTTTATAAACGACGATTTGAACAGAGTATAAAAATTAACAACCCCACCACAACGCACACTCCAAGCTGTGCGTTCACTCTGTGTTGCAACCCACACAGATAAACAAATTGGCTGTTAAAATGAAATGGTGGAGGTTCAACTTATTTGAGGGGCCTCCTTGATTCCCTTTATTGTTATTCGGCATTGTTGGGTCAGCCAGCCTACAACTTCACGAGGTCAGCATGTGTTCAGAGTGGTGGTTATGTTGCGAGCCTTAATAAAAAGTGAGAATCTTGCTTCGGCAAAGCTGGTGACTGTGAGATAGCTAATCTTATTGGATGAAGCTTTGCAACTAGGTGAGAGTGTTTGATCTAGCGGGCTAAACTAGCATGAGTCGCGGCGTCTGGGATTATGACTGCTCGGCACACTACCCTTAAGTTTCAGTCCTTTCCTATACTTTCAAGCAGGAGACTTTCCTTTTAAACGGACAGTTATTAAATAGTTCACTTATGATTACCTGACTTTTCCTCGCGTTAGTTTCCGGGGAACTTGTCTCTGGGTAAGGAGTTTATAGACAAGTGCGGGTCTTCTCTCTTACTGTATATCCTCGCTAGCTTGCACTACACTGTCTCTGTGAATGAAGTATTATCCATATCCTTGAGGTTTACAAAGCACCCCTCGATTTGTTTAGCACAGACTTTTATGTAGTGTAGTATGTTTAAGTGGTACGCGAATTATTAGCAGTAGAGTCTTGGTCAACACTCGATTTGCTTTAGACCGTACAGCAGTTAAACGAACTATTTTCACAACTAATCTTATTGGCAAATCTCGTTTCCGAACGTGATGTACTCTGCGCAAGCAACTCTAAAACTTCTGATTCCACCTCATTGCAAGTGTGTGATTTCAGGGTGATTCTTAAATAGTTTGCCCTCACGGTTTCGACCGCAGACTTATATATGTTTCCTCACAACTTATTCACATAACAAAGTGCTTTCTTCACTAATGCGTGCGTATCGTAAAAATATCAGTACCAGTGGATAAGATGGATTTTAACACACGTGGTAAGTTCCGTTTTCCTGAAACTACTTGAGTTGCTGATAAACGCACAAAACAGTCTACGAAGCATGCACCCAGGAAAGTGCTTTGGACTTGGTTGGGCAGCACCTTGTCGGGGATAATGTTAACAATAATGTTCTCCTCATGTGACATACGCTAACGCACTTCAGTCGCTTCATAACTTCCCATATACGCGGCTTGTGGCGATATAGTTGGTTAGGTGACATTACCAGTGCTATCATTAGGCGAAGTCAGTTTTGATAGTTTGGCCCACAGTCCACTATTAACTGAAATACTTTATATTTATTCGGTAAAATTTGAGCAGTACAGTGCGTCGGTGGCACAGTGGTTAGGACTCTCGCCGACCATGCACATGGTCCGAGGTTCGATCTCCTGCCGACGCACACCTGATATCAATGGTTGGCTTGCAAAATTTGGGCTACTGATATCGCATGCTGAAAATTCCATACTTCTACCAAAAATACGGTGTGGGATCAAGCTGTAATCAAAAAAAGATCAAAAAATTAAATTAGTGGGGGGGAGAATTAGTTATTATGTGTCATTAATACAGTGATCGCAGATACCTCCTTCCAGTTACACTACAACATAGGAAGCACTTCTCAAGGTTCAAGGAGGGCATACAGCGTATTGTGAAAGTCAGACGAAAAGCCCGGTTTACCTGGCGACTCTCTAGAAGCTCGAATGACTATTAGGCGAGCTTGAGACTGAGGGTCACAAACGAAAAGAGTTCACTTCACTCAAATCTTGCCAGAAAACCCCCTTTATATGCAAAATGCCCATATGGATTCATGTCGGAAGGAAAAGTTAGTGGCCAAGGGGTTCGCACCTTAGGAGAGCTAAATGGTCAACATCCCACCAGTTTGGAAACGCCGTATAATTTTTGTTCACCAGATCTATCACACGGTGAAACAGTATTATTTACTGGATAGTAAATAGATAATAACAGTAAATAATGCTGTTTCACTATATCACATATATTAAGATCGCATTATTCAGACTTTCCAGCAGATTTATTATCGACCTGTGTAATTGTAAATATATGGCGTTTTCATAACTAAGAAATTTCCGTGAGGAAATTTAAGCGCAGGTGTGAATACGTAAAATAATAATAGTATGAAATACACTTAAAATGTTTGTGATTAAAATCATGGTAAAATGTCGAGTGTCAAGTGGAAAATCATAGTCAATAGTGGATAATTCATAGGATGTATAGATGTTGGAAGGGGGTGTATAATTATGAGGCTAGTAGGCTAGTATGAAACGTCGGATAGCGTGGTATGAAATTCGGTAATATAGAATTCAACAGTGTAATGGGGTTTTTCAAATTTAGAGTGACAGATGGAAACGGTTCCAAGTGAAAATAGTAGTAATAATAATAGTTGTACTGATGAGGGAAAGGTACATAGACTAACTAAATAAACAAAGTAAATTAATTAAATAAATAAATGTCTATCCCTCCACGGCCAAGGTAGAGGTAGGGATTGCGTTCTTGATATTACAGTGGGAATTTTAGATTATATATTCAATAAACAAATTACATAATACCACAATGGCCAAGTTTGACCTATATATTAGTTTTTAAATGGCTGGAACATTAATTTCGGCGTTTGACAGCCAGCCGAAGAACACTGTATCTCTGCCACAAGCCATAAATGCCGCTTTGCTGAATCGCTAATCGGAAATCCACTGGGTCCACTCCATACTAACTCCTCAATCCTTATAGTGAGGCTAAAAAGCCTACCACCAGGAAGGTCCCCAGTCTCTGACGACATTCCACTGTCTGTCCTGAAAGAGTGTACATGTCCTCACGTTATCTGTTCCAACTTTCCATCGATTCACATTTCCTACCAGATGAGTGGAAGAGGACCATCCTGTTTCCATAATTAAAGGATTTGTATCGGGCAAAACAGAGTGGTATAGATCCGGGGGGTGTCAATGGCACTGGAAAGTTTGATCGAAAAGCATATCAGGCAATTTCTTGACAGGAACAGCGCACTCCATGAAGCACAATATGTCTTTATAAGAGATTTTTTTATTGGTGATCTGCAGTGCCATTTGAACTGCCAGATTCTTTTTTTCATTAATTTGGAGAGGAACAAAGTACTTGGGAGACTGAGATAAGCTTTAGGAAGACCTGAAAATTCTGAAAGACTGGGCACTGGTGAATAATGTCACTTTACATCAAAAAAGGCAGAGTAGTGAAACTACTTATCAAGGGAGCAAATTACTGTCTAAGTGATCATAATTTGTTTTGTGTGCAATCCAAAGATGAGTTCTGTCTCGTTCCAACACCATAGCGTGGATTACATGAATAATTTGGCGTGGACATACGTGGTTATACATTACACAATGACAGTTAGGTGCACTCACTACTGAACTTTTTCCAATGATTGATGAAATGTATGCACGACGGCACCTCGAATTGCAAAATAAAATGGCTTCTGCTCCACTTGGAAGGAAAAAGCCTCAAGAATTGTGCAAACAGGAGATATTCCAATGATGGACAACCGTGGAGTCAGCCATAGAGGGCCGAAGACCTATGTTCCACTAGGAACTCAGGGGAATAATAATATTTTGTCCTAACTAATTTTCTCCGCTAAGGTCGATAACTTTCGAGGACTTCTGCCAAAATGTCAGAAACCCCTACAGAAAATTCTGCATTCTGATGTTGATTTCTCTCATACGTGGCACGGCGGTTAGGAAGCTCGCCGACCATGAACATGGTCCGAGGTTCGATCCCCTGCCGGCGCATACCTGATATCAATTGGTCGACCTGCAAAATTTGGACTGCCGATATCAAATGCTGAAAATTTCATACTTGAACCAAAAATACGGTGTGGAATTAAGCTATAATCAAAAATAATAATAAAATTACCTACTAATGGAACTTCTTTCCAAGGCTTAAGACATCTGTCGATTTATCCAAAGTGATACTGGGCCTTTATTGTGCAATAAGTGCTACAAGTTTATGTATTAGTTTTAAGTACACTATCCTTAGTAGTGTTTAAGCTATACCCTTGGTAATTGAAGACTGAAACAGCGCGGGCGGGTATTCAATTGCATCTTGAGATGGCAGCATCTAAAGGTGCAAACACGTATAACCGCCAGAACTGGGAAGACTCAGTAAGTTCACCGTGATTTTATGCTCGCTTAAAGATTTTATACTAACCTTGGTCCTCAGAATCTCGCGAACAACTATAAAAATGCTATGTAACACCTTTGACTGACGTCAGCTTATCATGTTAGACTACCTGTAGCTTTAGGGCACCATACTAAACAGCTGATAGTTAGAGGTATGATAATGGATGCATAAAATCTATTGTATAAAGATGTTTCTTAATAACTGTGGTGTGGCTTCAGTTACGTCACATAGGTTTCTCATGTATATATGCATCAATATGTACATACTGAATGATTATTACAATTACGTTCAGCTGCACTTTTTTTTCTGGGATTTAGAAACGTAGCTTAAAGAAGAGGTTATGTGTAAAAGTAGCCTTGTTTGCCAATTTACTGGATTGTCCCAATAGAATTCATATTTAATGTGTAATTTTTATAGATGTATGACATCTACTCGCTGGTGTTTTTATTAATACCTGTGAACGGTCAAGATTGTGTTGCGATAAAATTCATGCATTTCTTTTGGCGTGCGTAATATTGAACCTCAGTAGTTTCACAGCGTAATTTAATAATGGCTATCACTTTATTCCAAATAATCATTATGTAGAATGCAGTTTGCAGCGTATTTATACATATTGCAACAATTCAGCTCCTTTTATAAAATAGTAATCATATTTATAATGAAACCACCTTTGATATAATGTTGGTGGAAACATAATGAATTGTAAGTAGACTGTCATAGATATTACGTGTGATAATAATCGTTGCTTATTCTGATTTAAAAAGTCTATAAGTTCTTTCCGGACACCTGACTCTTCATTTTAAACCCGTGCTAAATGTCGCATGGTAGGATTTTTATATATTTAGTTGTATGAGTGTAAATTCTAACGAAATTTCTTCTGGTTTTACCCGAAGAGATACAAGGTGGAAGTTGCGAACAAAGTAAATGTTCAGTATCAGACAAGATAACTTCAGCCATATGCTTGCAAGAATCGAAGTGCCTATTGACTATAATGTCAATTAGCAGAGGCAAAGGTACACACACCACTAACCGTACTTATTCTTCAGTGTTCTACATAATGTGACAGTTTTTTTCTAGAAGTCCAGGGAAGAATACTGGCGAATAATAAAAGGGAATGGGCAGAAGATATGAATAAACAATTTGTAAGATAAGAGGTTGAGTTATGCCAGAAGGTCTCAACTTCGTTATGTAATAAGTCAAACAAAAGATTTCCTTAGAAAATAACAGGACATAAGACTACCAACAAAGATTCGAAGAGAAACTGATACCGAGATAGGAGATGTTCGATTTACTCCGTCACAGTGCCGTCGATATAACGGGAATCATGCGACTGAATCATTCCATCTAAGTCTTGTTCGCATCTGAAACTAAAATCAACAGTATGTCGGTACAGAATCAGTGTTATACGTTATTTCGAGGTCTTTTGGTGTTGTGCCATTCCCAAAATTCTCTTTAGTCTGTCGAGTTTTATGTGTGATAATGTGTATTGTGGAAAGCTTTTCTTTTTAGTGGTCGCACTTACCGACTTCAATAATTTAACTGACTAGAAAACGTCCATGTAACGAGGTCTAGATAAGTTTCTTCCCTGCGTAGCTTAGTTCTAGCTTTTATTTGAGCAAAACCTAGGCACTGGCACATTTCATATTTTTCTGAGGCAGTAATGCATCGTAAGTGAAGATTCTTAGTTATTTGCAATTGTTTTCGATTTGACTGCAAACAAATTGTTATTCAGAACATAGTACATCATTCCACAAACCTACTGATGTAGGCTTTACCTATGCGCAGACATGTTATGTGTCAGTCATTGGCAAACTGAAGCAGTTTATGACCATGCAATTTTCAATGCATTATGTCAGATGAAGTAGTTAGTATCGATCGCAATAATGCGTTTGCATTCGAATTTCCTTTGCTCTAAACTTCGGGGTTGTAGACTTATTTGCCCTTTAATTTCTTTGTCTTCTGGATTTGTATAACTTCTCTTTGTGTATTCTTGCATTCTTTTTGTTACCACCGTGTGCCCGTATTTTTCGTTGTAAAGTACTGCCACGAATTCTGTTGCTCAGTATTGATAGATCCCACATTAAAAATATCCCCCACTCCCATCTTGTTGATGTTCCATGAATGTCGTCGAATGTCCACTCAACTGATTATTCAACTTTATGCCTGCAACTACCGGTGACTGAAAGCTCCTATGCTGTCACTCATTTGTAAGGTCTGTAATAACGTGGAAAAGGAGAGAAGATTAATTCACGGATCATATTTATGGTATCCCTGTAAATAAGTAGTATAAATCAACTACTGTTTTCCCTGATTGAAACTGACAAAGAGCTCTTATGATAAAAAAAACCAACAGTAATTATTTAGTTATCATCGTATAGTTCAATGAAACCGATACCAGAGAGACTACAGTCTTCCAATAAGTACACGAAACTGAACTGAGCCGGTTCACTTTTATGTAGCCATCTCAAATGTGTATTTCTGATAAAAAAAGTACATCAGTGACAGTATCGTGTACTTAATTCACCAAGTTACATCGGTGACAATTCTTGTAAAATGATGCGTACAACTCTAAAAGACTATTTTAGAAAAAAGGAAACTTGGGAAAATGGTCTATTAGTGAAGCAAAACATATAACAATATTGTACAGTGAAGCTGCCGTGACAGTTTTGAGTCTTCATTGTTGTAGCTGTTCCTTTAAGCAGACAAACCGAATAAAGTCTAACACAGGCAACAAATGGCAATATGTTGGATATAGTGCGTTCATCAAATTTCAGTAATACTCAGATATATACTCCACATACAGTGTTATCCATACTATTGAGATATGTGACTAATAAGTAAACTGCAGTGAAACGAAAAGAGAAAATGTTTTACAGGTCAAGTTCAGATAGATATTAGGGGTTGCAGAATTAAAATTTTAATGACTATCGTTCAGTTACGTCACTATAATAAACAATTAGTAGTAGATTTATTTTTGTACTAAATTCTCTGAAGCTTATGTACCTTTTTAGATTAAATGTCAACTATATTTGACATGTCTTCGCCGTCTCACTGAGTGCTTGCTCATAGCCTTTTAAACTGACTTCACATTTTTGTGTAGCTCTTACAATGATTTTTCTCTCCTGCAAACACAAAGTTGTGGGTATGATTTTACAGTAGATTATCCATTTTTAAGGCAACTGCTACTCCATTTTCCCCGTAGTGTTAAACTATCACTGTTGTAGTACTTATTTCATAAAAATATAGTCACTAGAGATTCATGTTTGATAAATATTGTGTAAAGCTTATGCTTAAATTATTGACTGCATAACTTTTCTGTAGATTGCTTTCGATTTCCTGTTGAGTAATTTAAACCAATATTCACTTTATTTCAGTCATTTCCCATTCTATGTGAAACATGTTTGGGGCCAAGTCCCTTTGTCAGAATGATGAAAGAAAAATATGGGAAGGAATGTAAAATTTGTAATCGTCCGTTTACCGTATTTCGCTGGTGCCCCGGCCCAAAAGCCAGATTCAAGAAAACTGAAGTTTGTCAGAGCTGTGCGAAGATTAAAAATGTGTGTCAAACATGTCTATTTGATCTCGAATATGGCCTTCCTGTCGAAGTTCGTGACAAAGCCCTTCGTCTATCACAGCAACTGCCTCAGAATGATGTTAACCGAGAATATTTCCATCAACAAATTGAACAAAATGCCGAAATGGAAGGTGATATAACGGCTCCATATGGAGGACATCAATTGATAGGAAAAACTCTGGCCAACACAGCTTCAGCCAGTAGCTCTAGCGGTGGTGGAGGTACAGACTTACTACTAAAGTTAGCTCGTACCGCCCCGTATTATCGTAGAAATCGTCCGCATATATGCTCTTTCTGGGTGAAAGGTGAATGTAGAAGAGGTGAGGAGTGTCCTTATCGGCATGAAAAGCCTACGGATCCTGATGACCCACTTTCCGACCAAAACCTGAAAGATCGTTACTACGGTCATGATGACCCAGTTGCAGCCAAATTACTGTCGAAATATGACTCAATGCCTAAGCTTACACCTCCAGAGGACCGTACAATAACTACTTTGTATATTGGAGGTATTCCTGAAGGCATGACGGAAAAGGATCTGCGTGATCACTTTTATCAATTCGGTGAATTACGTTCTGTCAATCTTCACGCCAAACAACGATGTGCTTTCATACAATTCACTACTAGAAGTGCTGCAGAACGTGCCGCCGAGCGAACTTATGATCGGTTAATTTTAGGTGGTCATCGGTTAACCGTTAATTGGGGAAAATCACCAGCGGCTTTGGCTGGAGCTAATTCTCACTTATCAGCAGAAACTGGTGATATAAGCCTACCTCCTGTACCTGGTTTGCCTCTACCTCCTGCTTTACCTCCAACCAATTTATTGAACAGAGCTATGTCAATTGGTCTTAGTGGAGGCTTTTTCATGGCACCCCCTCCACCACCGCCGCCGCCACCACCACCACCTCTTGCTACCAGATCTCTAGCATCGGGTGATAAAATGCCTATTGCCTCGACTATACAAATCGCACCACCAGTAGTTGAACCACTACCACCCGGAGGTAAGTCACGCATTTCAAGCCATATTTAAAAAGCACAAAGGTGAAGGGTTAAGGTTATTTAACCATTTGTACAGTATGAAGCCTATTCTGCCTCTAAATAACTAAATTTTTCCGTACTGGTGCTTTTACTAGGCAGTCACTAGGTTTTGAGTATTTTGCTCAGTTTCCATTCTCCACTGAATACTCATTACTGATTATCTAGCCATTTAAAGCCTTAATATTCTGAAAAATTAAAATGCGAAGGTAGATTTTAGGTAACTACTTGGTACGCTGATAGTAAGATTCTTAAGTAGATACTATACCAGTATCATGTAGGTACAACTAATAAGTTTGGAGAGCTTTATCTGGTTAAAGGTGTTTATTGTGTCGTCAGTAGTTGCAAAATTTATTGGGCTTCTTTTTCATTTTTGTGTTCTAAAAGAAATCACATTTCATATAAATTAATTGTTAAGACAGTTTGTATGAATGCTTTTTAAGGAAAATATATAAACCTTTTAATGCAAATGTGGATAATAAGCAACTATGCTTAATGTCCCCATTGTCTGAACCTACGAACTCATTGGTCACGGAGATAAATGTCAGCTCTCTTACTTGAAGTCTAAGTGAATGCCAATCTACGAAATCAAATTATTCCGTCGTTTAAGTTTTACAAGAACATATTGATATCTTACAACATGTTAAATGAAAGACTCTGTGGCAACATCTGTAATTTGTTCGCTAATATCTGCTTGATAATAGGCATTGTTTGTTCATAGTAAGTAACAGATCTGTGTGTAGTTTTTTTGGGTTAATTATACTCCCTTGTGCCCAACTTGCGTAGATAAATCCTACAACTTACTGATCAGATTTTTAGTGACCACCAAAAAGTCACGAATTAAAGTGATTTATGGCACACTGATACAAACAGGTGAGAATGAAATATATATGAAGAAATTGTGTGGCTCTCACGTCTTCACTGGAAAAGTTACTTTGTTCATCCCCTCTAATATTTGCAACCAGTGGAATGTATTTCGAACCATTCGCAGATTCAAAACTGTGGTAACATGAGTAAATGCCAAATCGCCACTGTATTTTGATCGTCATATTATAAAGCCCTCGTCGCTTGACGTTTGACAGGAAGATTTATCGTTTCTAGTAAATTTATTAAACTAAGCTTCCAACCAATCAGAAAGTTTTCCTTCAACCCTTACTAATTAATATAAGAATAGAACTTGGGCGCTATGTTAGTGTATGATTCCATCGTAGAATAAATTCATTTTATAAAAACACAGTGATACAGTATTACTTATTATTAACTACAAATTAGGTGCTATTTACTTCCCCTGGTTAAATCTATGGTATCATTCATTAGTGCACTGTTGTTTTTTTTCTTTTCAGAAATATTTATGCGTGGCCCACCGCCACCACCTTTGCCACGATACGTCGCTCGTCCTACTGCTGGCTTATTGCAGACACCACCGTCATCGGTTTTGCATGACCCTAGTTCAACAGGCGTATTGCCTCCATTACCACCACCACCACCACCTCCCCCGCCACCACCACCATCATCCAAAACTGTATCCTCAAAGGAATCAAAGTCAAGTAAGGACACGTCAGCTGATGAAGCATTGGGTATTCATTATCCAAGTCAAAATCCTCAACGGATGGGTAGTGTACCACACACTGAACAACATGACTAGTTAATCTTATACAATTCCAATGTATAAATATGTCTCATTGAATCATACATAAATGGTTTCATAATATTACATTCCGGTTTCCATACTCATTCTCTATGGTTTGGACGTTTATACGCTTAATGATAATAATTAAATTTTATCCCACTTACGTTATCATTGACTGCTGTATGTGTGTAAATATTTGTTTTATTCCACTGAGGATTATCGTGAACATGGCCTTCTGTTGTCCTCACACAAACTCATACAGTACCTTTTTGTATACAGCTAATAGTAAATCCATCAATAGAATTCATATCGTATTTAAGAGTTGTGTTTGATAAACACTGGCTACCTTGGCCTGTTGTGTAGCGTTTGTAAAACTTAGTATATGTAGTCTCTCATAAGCTTACAATACAAAAGGGAATAGTACGCTGTTTGACTGACTGATTTCAACATAGAACTTTGCACTGATGTGCAGCAGTTCGAGTCACCATACTCCATGCAGCACACAAAGCAAGAGAAGAAAGTAAAAGGAAATGCAAAATAGAGACAGTAAACAGGGATACGAGGCGAAAAGAGTAGTAATATGGAAGATCGATATAGTTTTATCGGATATAAGTCACAAGGAGTGGATGCATCTGCACCAGCCATTGAGAATGATTTTGAGCCATATCACCGATTGTCTTCAGTCAATGGTGTTTACCGTCCCGAGGACCCCAACCAGGAAGTCTACATCTTCCTACGTGGCTTAAACTAACTGTTTTGGATTTCATTGACTGGTGCCATGTCTTGGTTTGACCGCCACTGGCTCTTTTTTTCTAACCTGACCCTATGTCAGCTGACATTGCTCATTGTCGAGGAATGCGTAACACATGTCCTAACCATCTCAGTCTATGTAACTTCACAGCCTCATCTATTGGTTCCCCCTCTTTACCTAGTACTCGACTCCTAACCTCAATATTGTTCACCCTATTATACCACTTCACACGGGAGATAGGACGCAGCCACCTACGATCAAAGGCAGCTAGCCAGGCTTTTCATGTCTTTCACTCTCAATGGCCAGGTCTCACAGCCATAAAGGAGGACGAAGCAGACTGCTGAGCAGTACACACGTCCTTTGGTCGATAGCCAGCCGGATATCACGTCTACGCCAGAGATGGCGTAAACTGGCATATGCGTAACTAGCCTTCTGTATCCGTGCTGAGATTTAGTCAGCGATCAACCCGTTGTGGTTGATGCAACTTCCCGAATAAGTGAAGTAGTCAACTGGCTGTATCACTTCACTCCCTATTTCTGAGCTAGGAGTCAATGTAGTCCAGTCCTGTAGCATCATGTTACATCTGGCGAATCGCATGCCAAACATTCGCAGATTGCAGCTCAAGGTGTTCAGAAGACTGCATTTTGTCAGCATCTTCACCTAGGAGTAGGACTATATCATCTGCATATTCTAAGTCAACGAGATTAATCGCTGAAGTCAATTAGAGTTAAGTCCATTAGTAAATCTATGATGAAATTGAATAGAAATGGGGATAGTGGGCATACCTGACGGACACCACTAGTTGTCACCAGTTCAGATGACAACTCACCGTAAGATCTCACCTGGCTGCATAAGTTCGAGTAGAGTGACTTGATCAGTGCAATGTATTTTCTCGGCTTTCGCTTCACAGCCAACCATCGCCATAGTACCTCTCGGTCGAAGGAATCAAATGGCACTTTTAGGTCAAGAAATATAACGATTGTTGGACGCCTCTAAGTATGCGTATGTCCCTTTCCAGAATCTCTTGAAGGGTGAAGATATGATCAATGCACCCTCTTCCTGGTCTAAAGCCTGCCTGGTTCTCTCGTATTTGTTCCTCCCGTGCACCACTTAGTCTACCCATGATTATTGAGCCTAGAACTTTAGATACCACCATATTGGTCAAGCTAATCCCCCTATGATTATCACAGGAAGACTTGTCTCCCTTCTTGTATATCGGTATAATCAACGACTTACACCAACCCGGCAGGACTTCCTCGGATTCCCAGACGCTGCCTAGTACCTTAGTTAACGTAGACAGTAAACTGTCTCCATCATACTTAAATACTTCTGCAGTCATTCCATCAGGTCCTTCTGCTTTGCCTCGTTTCAGATTCGTGACAACCTTAGTAACCTCAGTTAGGCACGGAGGACCTGTGTCTACATCCCATTCAGGGAGGTGTTGGATGTTCGGTAAGTTGAGAATGGCTGTAGGCCAGTTGAATTGCTCCGCAAAGTGTTCTCTCCAACGTTCTAGTAGTCTATCCGAGAGCTAATTATGGTGCCATTTCCCCCAGAGATTGTTTCATTTATCGTTTGCCTTTTACAACCTGTTTCCCTGATAAGTCTAAATATTTGTCTGGTGTAACCAACCTCTGATGCCTTTTCTATCTCTTTCGCTTTTATTGCCCACCACTGTTCAGGGTCATTACGAAGACTTCTTGTTAGTTTGCGTTTGAGTAGCTTTCGCTCCTCGTCATAGTCGGAGCTTGCCGGAATCAGTCTTCTTGCGTCAATCAGTTCGCATGAGTTGGCAAACATCCAATGCCTCTTGCTAACTTAAGGGTTTCAGGTTATTAACAGCTTTTACATCTGTGTCTACAGGTAACTGTATGTTGTGCCTCAGGAAGAGGTCTGCTGTCAACCTCAGGTACTTGTTTAGCTATTTCTTCCTTAAATAGGGACTCAGAGTCTCGATCTAGTTGTGGTTGCGTAACTGCTTCGCTGCCAACAATTTTTTTATGTCCGTTTAATCGTAAGCATAAACGTGCGCGAACCAGGGCGTGTTCAGAGTGTATGCACGTGCTCCAGGAGGATCGGCGGTCTTCAACTAACCTTCGCCAACGATACCCTATCGCTATGTGGTCTGTCTGAGTCCAGCGTTGATTTGGTGATGGAGGTCTCCAGGTTACGCAGTGTCTCTCTTTGTGCCTGAAGTTAGTGCTGACTAGGAACAGATGATTATCTGAACAGAACTGCAGAAGACGACCACTATTGTCGGTTCATCAGCAGGGAACTGTATACATGCCACCTACATACTTCTCAGTCTGGCACAACTTCCCTACTTGGGCATTGAAGTCGCCTGCTAAAACAACTATATCTGAACGTCTTGCTTTTGGCAGTTAACCACACAATTCCTAGTATAAATCATCCTATAGTTCATCCGAACTGCAGTCTGTTGGGGCATAAGCGGAGACTACGAAAAGACGACGACGGGTAACGCCGTTCTTCCTTCTTCTAACGGACCCGTTCAGACTGACCGCACACATGTGACTATCTACTGGGATCCAGTCAGGAAGTGATTTTTCCGCCCCAACACTCAGTGTTATGCCTACACCTGCGAGTCCAGGCGAGCTAGCTGAAGGGTCTCCTGACACTCAAAGTAAATTTTGTGGATTTAACTTGTTGGCCGGGCGAGGTTAAGTGAACGACCACACTCGGGTTTTGTATGCGTGTCTCCGAAACAACATACATCCATGGTTCGAGATACCAGAGTCCTTGCTAGCGATGTTTGTTGTCCGATTCGGCAAAGGCTGCTGATGTTATATGCGCCTATATGAAGTTGGTGACGTGGCTTTGAGAGGCTGTCGGGGGTGATTTTATTGCTGTCATCGTTGTTTGTGGTCACAGAGTGAAGTAAAGATGACTCACTAGCCTGAAGAATAATACCGACTGTAGTAGGGGAGTGAGAGGATGAACTTGGTGTGGGTAAAGGAGAATGATGCTGAGGAAGACTTCGTGTGCTTTTGGAGGTGTATGGGTAGTTGTTACTTCCTGGCTGCCGACATCATGTAACTTGATATATTCTTCGTAAACAGAAAGAGGGTTAGTATTGCGTGACCGTAGGTCCCAGGGGACAACTGCTTGAGGCCGGTCACACACGGCCTGTATGAACTGGTTTCTGGGATTGGTTCCGTATTAGTAAACTTACCGCCGGTTACGGAGGGTACAATTGTTGGGGTCGACCTTTCTAACCCCCTCCCTCCAGAGTGGAGAGACAGCATAGCTGGCATGCTGGTCATCTGAGGGAAATAATAATAGCTTTATTCCAAACAGTATTTGTGGTACAGGTAAGGAATTTTCAGCTGCTGTTAAATCCCTGTTCCCCAGCAGTACGACTTCGCCCACAGACCCCCAACATAGTGTAAAAGGAAATTCACACACAATGCCGCTAACTGTTTTTGGTTTAATCACTATCCTAACAACCTTCCTGGCATGGTAGGACCTGCAGGAACAACCGTTTCAGCCAGTGTAGCTTGTTGGGTCATTGCGATATGCAAGCCCGACCACCTCGTCAAGGTAGCAGCTATCGGTCGGGAATACGCTGTTTAGTGAAGTAACGAAGTAAATATGCACTTATCGGTAGCATTCATCAATGTGGAATAAAATAATTACAACCATATTTCCTAGAGATAGCTGTTGTTGCTACAGTAGTAGAATGTTTAAGTTTTCGTCTTTACTGTACTCCAATTTATTATTCTCTAAAAGATAATAATAGGAATACTCATACAGATGGTGAATGAAAAAAAGTGTACTCTGATTTTTTCAAAAATCGTAATTGAACATGTCTTTGGGAATATGAAAGCTTTTAATGGTGGCTGTAAAAACAGGACTAATCTGTCATTCGGATGTTAGATTTAACACCGAAATTCTGGAAAATTATTCAGACTTAACTATCCTAATAGTCTTCAGTGCTAAAAAAATTACTCGACTAGAAATTATCTTCATTCTGTCATTATCATGGGGAATTTGATCACATCTTTTTCCTTGGTGTCTCATCGGCTAATTGTTTTGGCTGCATTGATTGGTAGTAGCATTTTCTTGTTGGTAGTTTTTTGCAGCGCACTTACACCTACCTTACTAATATTACGGATTATAAGATTTCATCTCTCCATTGTTTCAAGCTATCATGAAGGGTTCAGTGGTGGCATCATTTATGCCTAAAAATAATTTCGAAGGTATCCAAGAAGTGGGTTTCATTTGTACTGTAGGTTCACTATTTCGAGGGAAGGATTTTGGTGGTAGGATTTTCGAACAAAAGTTTCCTTGTTTAGTAGCACATAGGCGTTATACATTGTACCATATCACTGTTGAGCTAGTAGTTTGTCTGCTTGTCATACGAACTCGACACTGTCAGAGGACAAAATAGTGATTGATAAACATTTTTATTCGAACTTGCGGATATTCTATAGAGACTATATATCTGTACATTTTGAGGTTTCCATAAATGAACTCATTTTTTATGATGAAAGGTGTAATAAGGCAGTATTTCTCAGTCGGAGCCAATGCTTATGTTGTATGTGCATAATCTGTTAGTTTTTTTCTTTGAAATTTGACGAAATGTGCTAACAATTAGTAATAGAAGATGAACATTTTATCTATCAGTCTTTTTTACTCAGTCCATATT